CATACATTCTACGCTTTCTGCCACTCCTGCCAGCAACACGTCAAGCGTAAACTGTCTTAAAACATATAGCTGATTAAACTTTTAAATGTAACTGCTGTTTTTAGCATGGGTGATATTAAACAATAAGCTGTTTCAATAAGTCTGGTTGAAACTGTCTCAGAACCTATTAATAATATTGTACAATTTAATCATCAATATTTCAGAAGCAAGATGACAAAACAATACTTGCTGACTTACACTATAGCTCGACGCGTGTTAAATATAGAGAATTTTTCCGTGACACAAGCTTTATAGGTTTTCCTACTAAAAGTAGAAGTAATTGAAATTAAAGAAAATAGACGGGAAACATTGCAATTATCCTAAAAATTAGTTCAAAGATGGATTCTAATTGAGCTATATTTAATCGCATAAAGGTATGGCAAATTTAGCAGCATAGTTCACTTTCCTGTGATTGGTGGCATATTAATCTATAATCACGGATCTAGGGAAGAGGACAATAACATATCTACTATAAAACATAAAAATGCATTAAACTGTACTATAAGAGAGAAGGGAACACCGGACAGCAACTTGGCCAGCACAACCTATGTTTCTTGTTTAGACACCAACCACCAACATGGCCATCAACATCAATGTTCCAAAAGCAAAAGAGACACCAGGCAGAAACAAGGCCAACACCAGCAATGTCCCAACAGCAAGAGAGATACCAGGCAGCAGCACGGTCAGTACCAGCGAAGTTCCAACAGCAAAAGAGAAACCAGGCAGCAGCACGGTCAGCACCAGCAATGTCCCAACAGCAAAAGAGAAACCAGGCAGCAGCACGGTCAGCACCAGCAAAGTTCCAACTGCAAGAGAGACACCAAGCACCAATACGGGCAGCAGCAGCAATGTTCCAACAGCAAAAGAGACAACAGGCAGCAACACGGCCAGCAGCAGCAATGTTCCAACAACAATAGAGACATACCCATAGCAACACATGAAAAGTGACAATCAAGACCGAAAGCAAAGAACAATAATAAGCCAGTAAACGGCAGATCTAAAAGAACAGCAATGACGATGTATACGGCAAGAAAGATTATCAAGTAGAGCAAGAAAGATAAGAATAACCACCATATGATTGCAAAACTACAAACCAATAAGGAAGAGTAAACTAGATTGGAGAAGTTGGTGTTGGCTACGTGAACTTCAATCAAGCACTCCCAAGGGGCTGGTTACCCTTGCTCGTGTTAACCTTGAAAGAAGTTCAACGCAACCAAACAGACGGGATTCTAGAGAGAAGAAAAGGCTGGAAATGCAACGTCCATTGGCTAACATACTACTATACCCATAGCAACACATGAAAAGTGACAATCAAGACCGAAAGCAAAGAACAATAATAAGCAAGTAAACGGCAGATCTAAAAGAACAGCAATGACGATGTATACGGCAAGAAAGATTATCAAGTAGAGCAAGAAAGATAAGAATAACCACCATATGATTGCAAAACTACAAACCAATAAGGAAGAGTAAACTAGATTGGAGAAGTTGGTGTTGGACCTACGTGAACTTCATTCAAGCACTTCCCAAAGGGGCTGGTTACCTTGCTCTGTGTTAACCTTGAAAGAAGTTCGAACGCAACGCAACAGTGGATTCTAATGAGAGCAGAAAAGGGGCTGGAATAGCAACGTCCATATGGCTAACTACTACTAATATATCCCATAGCAAGCACATTGAAAAGTGAACAATCAAGCCCGGAAAGATAAGAACAATTAATTAAGCAAGTAAATACGGCAAGATCTAAAGAACAGAATGACGATGTTATCGGCAAGGAAAGATATTATCAAGTAGAGCAAGAAAGATACAGAATACACACATATGATAGTGCAAGACACAAACCAATAGGAAGAGTAAACTAGATTGCGACGAGAGTTGGTGGTGGTTGTGGTACTACGTGATACTTTCTCAAGCACTCCATAGGGGCCTGGTTACCCTTGCTCGTGTTAACCGTTGAATGAGAAGTTCAATAAGTGCGCAAGCCAACAGAACGGGATTCGTATTAAGAGGAAGAAGAATAAGGCTGGAAGGAGGTGCAACATCCATTGGACTAAACATAGCTACCATTGTACTAACGTTCTTGGTGGTTGTGGGTGTGGTGGTGGGGTCTGCCCAATAAGACAACACAGGTGAGAGATAAGTGACAGTATGTCAAGAGCCGAAGGGTAGGCTGAATAGAAGAGGAGGAGAGAGAGTAGTAAGGAGCGGGGCAGATTCTAAAAAGAACGTGGTCAATGACGTATGTATTTACGGCAAAGAAAAAGATTAGTCAAGTAGATGCAAGAAAGATAAGTAATTAATGCGCAGGATGCCAGTTTACTACGCTGCATGATTAGTCGGCAAAACTACAAGAGAATAAGGAAGAGTAAACAGATTGGAGAAGTTGGTGTTGGCTTACGTGAACGTTCGATATCAAGCACTCCCAAGTGGGCTGGTTACCAGCCTTTGCTCAATGTTAAAGTTCCTTGAATAGCAGTTCAAACGGTCTAACCAATTACAGACGGGATTCTAGATGAGGGAAGTAGAGGGAAGGCCTGGAAGTGGTCAACAGGATCCGAGTTGGCTAAACATACTGACTAGTTGAAGGTGTTCAGAGACTCGACATAGCAGATCGACTGGAAAATGTGACATATCAAGAAACCCGAGAAGCAAAGAGACAATAATAAGCAAGTAACGGAGTATTTCTAAAAAGAACAGCACATGACGATGGTATAACGGGAAGAAGATTGAAATCAAAGTAAGAGCACTTAGAAAGATAAGAAGTGTAACCGTCTGCGATAGGTGATTGCAAGAACTTCATAAACCAAGGTAGTAGGAAAGTATAGTAAACTAGATTGGAGAAGTTGGGTGATGTGTGTGCTACGTGGAACTTCAAATCAAAGCACTCCCCAAGGGGCTGGTTACCGCTGCTTCGTGTTACGCTTGAAAGATAGTTCAACGGCAACCAAAACAGACGCGGATATTCCTTAGAGAGAAGAAAAAGGCCTGGAAATGTCGAGTACGTCCATTGGCGCTAACAATAACTGACTAGTTGACAGTAGCTGTAAGCGGACAATAATAAGTGATACCCAATCAAAGACCGGGAAAGCAAAGGAACAATTAATAAGCAATGTAACGGCCAGATTCTAAAAGAACAGCAATGACGATGCTAATACGGCAAGAAAGATTATCAGAGTGAGAGGTCAAGGAAAGAGGGTGAAGAAACCACCATATGTTGATTGCAAAAAGGCTTACAAAACTGTTCGAGGAGGTGAGAGTAGTAAATGAGGGCTAGATTGGAGAAGTTGGTGTTGGCTATCAGGTGTGAACGGTCTAATCAAGCCACGTCCCAATGGCTGGTTAATTATGGCGCGCTTGTTCGCTGCGCCTGTTATATCGGCCTTTGAATAGATAGGTTGCAAGCGGCGAAGCCAAACAGACCGGGATCTAGAGAGAAGAGAAAAGGCTGGCAAAAGTGCCATACGTCCATGTGATGCGTAACATACTACTATACCCAGAGTTGATGGGATAGATCACATTGTTGGCGTGGGAAAAGTACAAATCAGACCCGAAAAGCGAAGACATATTAGATAAGCCAGTAAAGCGTGCAGAGTGCTAAAAGGAGAACAGTCAGAGTGAGCCGTATATGGGGCGTATCTTGCTTGGAGAGTCGGGAGTGAATACGGATTAATCAAGTAGAGCAAGAAAGACTAAGGCAATAACCACGCCCATTATATGATAGGCAAGAATTTGTAGCCTATACTAACAATAACGGAAGCGGATGGTAGTTAGCCGAGGTGGGGATTTGGGGATGGAAGGTGTCGGTGGTTGGCTAATCAGTTGTGAAGTACTTTCGAATCAGGATGCACTCCAATGGGGTCTGGTTAACCTGCTCGTGTTAAAGCTCTGAAACGAAGTTGCAACGCATACAATACAGAATCGACGGGAATTTTCTAAGAGAGAAGATAGATTGGACTGGGTAAATGCAACCGTTCGCCATTGGCTAACGATATGCTACTATTATGTTTGTGTCCCAGTAGCAACACATGAATGACCTTTGGGAAGGATGGAGCAGATCAGTACCGAATAGCAAAGAACAATAAGTAAGCAAGTAAAACGGCGAGATTAACGAGAGGAACGATGGTAATAGGTAGCGGATGCTGATTGTAGTACAGGCAAGATATCAACATATGATTATGGTCGAGAGTATGTGAATTGCAAAGAAAGAGGTAAGAATACCAACCATATATTGTACGAAATCTACAAATCGGGCGAGATTGAAGGAAGATAAGTAAACTGTAGATCTGTGTGGTGATGAAAGTTTGGTGTGGTTTGGCCTATCTGTTGTATGAACTTCAGAATGCAAGGCTGCTCCCTTAAAGTGGGATCGCGTGGAGCCGATTGCTCTGGCTCGTGTGTAACCTGTGAAAAGTATATGTGATTCTATTTCGTGGAGTTGCCATACATCCGAGAGTTGCAGCGATCGATCGTGGGGTGATTAGTAGAGAGTAAAGAATAGGCTGTGGAAATGCAACGTGTCCCATTTGTGGAGCTAACTATACATACGGGACTGGTATGGATAGGTCGCCATAGCATACACAGTGAAAAGTGTGACAATCAAGACCGAAAGCAAAGAAACAAAATAGCAAGAAACAGGTCAGATTCTATAAAGAACAGCAATTTGTGACGAACTGTTATTATGGCAAGAAGATTAATCACAGTATGAAGCAGACTAGTTTGTGACTGCTTAATTATAATTCGTGTTGCGAGATTGGTTTTCTACAGAGGAAACATTCAAAAGAAGAGGAAACAATCTTAAAACTGTTTTGGAACTATTCATACCTCCACGTAAACAAAAACTACTGGTTGATGTCGAGTTCTGCCCTTGTAATGTGTGGATGATTCGAGACTTGGTTGGTGCGCCAGATTCTTTAGCAGGTGTTTCGGGTCTTGTGGATAGTTGCTGTCTCAGTGGTGGGTGCTCGTTGTTAGTGGTTTTGTTGGGCAATCCAACATGCAACATAGGAAGATTTAAGGATGCTGTCTTCAGGTACAACAGAGAAACCAATGGTGTTGCAGTCACGATTTCTATACACTCTGAAGGGGATGTCATCAATTGTAAAATTATAAGATTTGTTTATTTTATCTGCAATACCAGGAAGTAACAGTGGCCACATTTTTGCCTGTTCTTCATGTGGTGAATTTTGCAATAACTTTCTAAGATATGCCTTAACTGTTTTGTTCAAGTTCTCAACTTGCCCTTGATGTCTTGGTGTATAAGGTTTCCCCCTCACCATTCTGAAATTATAATCCTTACTGAACTGCCTAATTAGATTATTTACAAATTCTTTGCCATTATCAGACTGAAGGATGTCAGGTGCACCCTCGACGTCAAAAAGAAATTTTATCACCCTGTACACCATTTGAGCTGTCTTATATTGCAAAGGGAAGAGCCAACAGAATTTACTAAAACAGCATTTTATGGATAGAATGTAACGGAATCCCCAAGGATTGTTTTTCATGAAAGATCTCTTAGCTGGAGCCATGTCAATAAGATCATACTGAAGTCTTTCATGTGGACGAAAAGAGCGAATAGGCTTCGGAGGCGCAATCTGTGTCGAGGGAAGAGGTGTGTTAATACGACAAGATTTGCATCCTTTTAAGAATGACCGAATTTCCTTGAAAATTCCCTTGAAATAGAATTTAGAAGTGAAAATCTTGCTCAATGCATTTATGCCACCAGGGACACAACACGTTTCTCCACCAATCGTTTTAGTGTAGTGAAGATCTTTAAGAACATCGAGCACATTTTCCTTACATATCACCTCCTTTGAATCGATACATGTCTTCGAAGATTTGCTATAGGAATGATGCATTACTACTGGAAGATCGTTGTATCTACCTAAAACCAACTTTCCATGGCTATCAAATTTAAGGGAGTAAATTGGTTTCTGGTGGTTTCTGGAAAAAAATAAGTTGCTGCTTTTTGTGGCTAAAAAAGTCTTGATAGAAAGTAGCTGTGGCTTTGAAAAAGTTTTCATCATCAAATTCTTAGCGAATTTTGGATGGTGTCTGATTACTAAAAATTTCAAAATCATTATGAGCAAGGGTTTTGTCATTGGGCCCTTAAAAGAAAGATCTGCTGATGGTTCAACAGTATGGCTCAAAATTTTTGACAAAATCCCCTCGTCTTGTACTGTGGCGGAATGTGCTGAGGAGGAGTTTGTTGAAAATAGAGAAGGTGTTGGAGATGAGTCATTGTGGTTAGATAGAGATAAAAGTTCGTCAGATCCATTTGAACTTTCTATACCTTCTTGACAAGCGTTATCAGCTGTATCCCCAACTGAATCTGAAAAAAATCAATTGAAAATAGGCAGATGTATTCTTATAAACCCTAGCAACGAAGGAGTAGCATCCAAGGGAGAGGGCAGAGGACAATTTTCCCTGTTCTTTGAATTCATTTCTTTATTGATTGCTAGCCAAGCATTTCTACCATATTTCTATACCTATTGTAATTGCGATCGGCGGAGCAAACAATTAGAGCTCTTTTTTCATCAACAGAGTCTTTGAGCTTTCAATATTCCGAACATTGACGCTTAAATTGCAGACCTAGAAACTTTTAGGCATATATTATACTTTTCTTATATCTATTGATCAGATTGGTTATCGTAAAACTGGAAAAAAACCGAAAACTGATTTATATGAAATGCACCACAGGAGGCAGGGGCATCGCAACGATGGAGTTGTGGGTTGACAGCGAACAAATTTCTCGACAAAGCTCAGTATGAAAAACAGAGTAGAGCCGTTTCCGGCTTATAGAGTAGAGATTTGTTCCGGAATTTTTTCTCACCTGAATTTCCAAAATTATTTGTCAAACTTTAGAAAAAGGAGACTGAAGTCTCCAAAGACATAATTACCAAGGGAGCACAGTGGGCACATTCCTATTTTAAGCCTCTTTTAGGTGACCCTTTATTGCTTACGTTTTTCTCCTACTTTTAAAATTCTCCTTCCTACAACTATCGTTGCCCCTGCCTCGACAACACATACCATTCTCATCAAATAGAAACTCGAGTATCTCGTTTATCTGCTGCTCATCTGTTGCCATTGTGATGAATCTGAAAAAGGTGCAAATTTCATTCTGGATAAGTTAACGCAAAAGAGACACAATTGAGTTTGTGTAAAAAGACAGTGAAGTGAGGCTAGCTTGACTCGAAATTACCAAGGAATAGGTTTTGAAAGTTTTGGAAACATATACAGTATCGATTGTAGAAATTTTCGTATTGTCTCGTTTATGTTCCTCTTACTACAGGGACGTCGTAGCTAACAAATTATGTAAGACCCATTACAAACGTTTTTACTGCTTACATTTTTAGTCTTTTTGTTCTTTACCGTCCTTCTCTTGCCCTTGTCAGACAGTCTATTACCAGCTTCTTCGTCACATACTATTATCTACCTTTCTATTCACTTCTCTCCCAGTTCCCCAGCAATTTTCGTTTTACACATTTAACAACATGTATTGTATTAGGTGGGTTCCCTTTAGCTTCTATTTATTGAATTTTTCCATTGTAATTTAGCATGGTAAGTAGGATCCATTGATTTTGTAAATTTATTACTGATGAAGCCAAAGCAGAAAATCTCTCTCCCGTGTAAACGGCGTCTAAGGCAATAATTCCTTTAAGTTTATGGCGGAAAATCTTCCACTGCACAGCATTTTCTCACACTTTTTCTTTAGAAATTTTGTAAATACAGAAGGTATTGTTAATGTGTCTTTAATTACAGTTCTGTTTCTCTAGTTTTCACAGATAACACAATCGTTGCTGAGGTAATGTGTAAACATGTTTGACTAACTCCAATATGACTAATCCCACTAATATTATTCTTATTTCTGATTGGTTGCTGAGGTGTAATTTGCTTAATCCAAAATTGTTAATCAGTTAGTTAGTTCGTGGCTGATTGTAGTTGGTTGATGAGTTGATTGATGTAGGAGAGAGATTGCACGTTTATATTTATTGGTAATATCTTTCGGTTTACCCAGCCTGTTTCTTTAGTTTTACTCTTATTACGTGATAAAGAATCAAATAATGCATGAGGTGGGATTCACCTCAGTTTATATACTATCATTCAAACATTTTACAAAATGAGGGTTTGAATATACATGTGAAATAATCTAATGAAAACTACTGTTAACTGGTCTGTCATAAAGTGTTCGATGTCATAAATGACTGAGCCGTGAACGCTTTGGTATAGAACAAGATGCTTCAGAATGTGGCGTAGGCACTAAATTCCACCAAAGGTGTACATGGTCACCCTTTCTTTGCGCTATGAGGTGAGGGGTCATACACACCCATTAGCGAAATTAAAGGGAAAGCACAGAAAACTCTCATGATTAGGGCATATAGCAATTTTGGTGGAAAATTTCTTTAAATTCCACGACGTTGAAAGAAAATCTAACAAATTTGCCAAAATAAACGGATGAGCTTGAGTCGAAGATGGTGCCATGTGCACCAAACGATCCCCCACCAACGTCGCTGTAAATTGATAAAATTGCTACAAAATTCAAAAATTAACTTTTTAAGCAGGTTATCAAATGTTCAAACATCTTGTAATCTATTTGTTAACCATAGTTGTCAAATCACAGAGATCTGCTGTGAGATTCACGGATTTCAAATTCGTCTCATGCTCTCGCGCCACGGATGTTGTTAGAAATCTCACGGATCTAGCAACATTCAGCCAATTTTCAAGCAATCATTAAGATTTTCTAAATTTTCTCCATTTTGAAACACAATTTTTTTTAAATTGGGCCTTCCTTTGAGTGAGGGAAGCTCGCTTACAATAAGAGTTAAATACTTATTTTCAAAGCCTAAAATCTCTCAAATCAAGGCAATATGAGAAGCCTATGTAAAACAATTTCCAGGGAGGCATTTTTCCGTCAAGTCGATACCAGATACCCTTAGTTGGCATCTATATAATTCATATCATCCGTGCCCCAATCTAGGCCAATATTAAAAACTTATTTGGTGCTTTTCAACCTCGATGTATTTCGTGTTTCACAATTTCGTCTAAGTGAACAAAACACAAAAAGTTGTAAAGATCAAAAGACCAACTTCTTACCATGCAATGATCGCTTTCTGCTTTACAAAGCAAAACTTCCTTTTCTCAGGTCAAAGTAGCATGTGCAACCGCCACAAGAGGAAAGTTCACGATGAAACTCAACTAGGTTAGAAAACGCCCCCGGTTTTCTAGAGAAAGTTCTGCACCATGTGACCTCTGACGTCAGTGCAAGCTCTGCCATCCTTGCTAGCTCTGCCACGCTACAGACCCAAATACAGAGGTTTGCCGAGGAAAGAGCCAATACACCATGTGTCTCATAATGTTCCTTCAAGTTATCAAGATGAAATAGTTCTTTATTTAATATTGGGGCTATGAGATCCAAATTCAAAAATTCTAAAAATAAGTCTTTGTGATGCCATCAGTTTAGAACTCTAAAAGGGTGGGGCTCGGTGGGGCTGGGTTCAACTAGGCGGATAAATAGATTCAATTATTGTGTGGTGTCAATACAGGGGCTCAGCCTTCCCTTTTTGACGGCACTCTTTCTTTAAACAAATGATAAAGTTGAAAATGGGTTTTGAAGCAAATCTAATTAAATCCTAGAAAAAGTGTTAGTAGTGGCGCCACCGCACCTGGTCTGCGGGGCTGTTGGTGCACCTGAGGTCTCCCAAAAAAAGGCCACACCTCTGCGATCTGGGTTTTAACTTCAGGGCCCACGCCACCGGGGGGGGGCGGGTGGCCATGGCCCCCCACTTTTTGCGAGGCAAGTAGTTTTAAACCTGCAGTAAAAGGAGAAGAAGCTTTGACCCCTGCTTTTGCTAGCCTTGGTGCCCCCACTTTCAATTTCGTGGCGTGGATCCTGAACTCTTAGGTTTTTCAGGGATACGTTTTGCATTTATGTACTTGGAAATTGAAACAGGAACTACAGAGGCAAGTTGTTGTTGTTGATGCGATTACGTCATATGGTATGATGGTTGAGAAGGACGCATAAATAATTTCCGCGAATCAACGAGATATTCTTCATTCCCATCCAGCGAATGCGATATGGCTCAACCACCCAGTTATCCATATGGTCAAAAGTATCCACAGCAAGGCTATGCGCCACCACCAGGTAAGACCTATATTACTTTTTATATGAAAAGACAAGCAGCTACACTCCATTCAAATAACGAAACCTAACTTGGATTTTGTAGGCCTACTCGCCTACAGCGAGCCTACCTATTACCAAATACCTACTACAAAAGCCTTGCTTGGAAAAATTGCTATAAATAAGATTTTTATACGTTCAGAAAAAAGCTGTATAAAGTTAGGCCTAATCTTCGGAATACTGAATCAGCAATAATCGTATCCCAGATTGGAATCTTTGAAAGATGCGTGGGGGATCTGTTTCATGTCCATGAAAATTGCGCATTTGCAAATAGCACAGATAAAGATTTTGTGCGGCTGAGACTAATTACCATAAAAACACAGTATGTAACTTTTGGGTATACATTTCAAAGAAAAACATTAGTAACATCATTAGTGGTGATAAAAACAACATAGCAAAGATAAACATCTTTCATCTTTCCTAAAAATAAGAATGAGAGGGACCCAACCAGATAAGAATTTTTTCTGTAAGCCAAAATCTGCTCAAACTTCGAAAAATATGTGCATGGTAATGAATTAGATCATCCTGTTCCATGTGTATTTTACTCCTAGAAATGATAAAAATATCCTTCACATGTTTGCTGTTATTTGGCATATGTGTATACAAAACCAGCCTTGTGTGTACACAAGCAAAAAGTAATGACGACCTAGACGATCTGTAACTCTGAGGGTCTTCAAATTCAAATGTCATTAAAAGCGTCAATTATTTAGTACATACAAGATACATTCAAAAAGAGTCCTGCACGGCTGGATGAATCATTGTAATAGAAATTGCGCGGCTGCAATCGTGCCTGATACTTGATGTGCATGGAGGATTTATCCCCTGCACAAGGTGAAAATTCCAATCTGGATCGTATCCAAGGCCCCAGATTAAGGCCCAGGCCCTTAGGGTGATAAGGGGGAGGGCGGTGGCATTTTTGTAGGATGAGCTTTTGCTACAGTATTAATCAGGGCTGGTCATGCTGCCCCCCCCCCAACTAAAATTTGCAACTTGGTGCTTAATGTAAGGTCCTTATTTGTCTGGGCATCAAGGATGTATCTAAAAACTAGATTTGAAACATTAAATTAAAATCTGCTTCTGGTGCACCTGGGATTTTCTGATAATTTTTGGCTTCGGCATCTTAGTTTTGGGGCTGTTGGTGTGCCCCTGATCTTGTCATTATCAGCCATGCTCTGCAAACTGGATCTAATGTAAATGACAATTGCAAGATTGACAATATTATATTAGCATAATCAGGGTAAAAATATTTTCAAGATAATAAGATGTTAATAAGTTTGATATTCTTTTGTGAGAACAATAAGTGTAGCAGACATGATATCAAGCCAAAAGGAATAATTGTGTATATAAATCTTTGTAGATTCTCTACATTCCTTCATTATGTAACTCTTTATGTTTTCATTTGCATACCAAAATTTCAGTTGCCATATTAACCATGTTTGTTAAAATGTTAACATGCAGAAAATATGGCCAACAATTTTAGATTAGAGAAATTAAGCTTTACTGTTTATGGACAGTTAATTTTACATGGCTTTGTAAGTTTAGCTTTATGATTTCTTTAAATTTCTCATTTCAGCACCTGTTGGGGCAACACATCACACAACAGTTTATGTTAATCAGCAGGCACCTATAGTAGTGCCTTTCCAACAAAAGGTTGGTTAGCCTTTATGCTGAATATTCCTGTTTACTACTTTATGCGAGGATTGGCCTAGGCCCCAACTTATTGTTTGCAACATGAAAATAGCCAAAGCCTGACAATGGCTGAACTTGAAAGACAAGTTAGTCTTTACATAGCTGCATTATATGGGTTTACTTGCAAAGTTTTTAATATTAGACCAACTGCACCAATGGTCAGTTATCTAGGGCTGCTTGGACCATGCAACAGTTGCAAGATTCTAATAGCAATTTTTTTCTTCTTTACAGAGCACAAGTCGAAGGGCAGCTGTAAGTAGCAACATACCTAGTTCTACTCAAATGTTAATATTTTTTGGTGTTACTATTTCCTCTCAATGCAATTGGAAACAAAGTAATCCAATACACTAGACTAGGCCAAATCACTAGACTAGTCACCAAGCAGGGGGAGGGATTGAACAAGGCTTGACATTTTTAAGATTCCTAAGGTGTAATTTCCAAGATATCATGCTCATATCGAAGTGTGTAGAATAATCTTTGTTTAAAGCTTTCCTCTTACTATACAGGCCCTGTTCCACCTACTTGATGATATTTTTTTAAAAATAATCCGAAGAAAATATGTTAACTTCAGGGTACAATGTTTGTTTATTTTATTCTGTTACTGCCTGCTGTTTCAATGCACTGTTTTCAAAATTTTATAGTACTATTTTATACTAATTTTATAGTATTTTATAGTAATTCTATAAGAGTTTTATAGTACCTAATTGTTATATTTTTCTGAAATTTGCTCCAACTCAACATATTTCATTTAAAACAATAATGAGATAAAATTTCTGAAATATCTTTTGATAAGGTAATAACAATATGGGCATTCTAAGTTTTTTAGTAAACTTGGAAATAAAATCATTTAATGGTTGTGCTTTAATTTCTCCCATTTCTATGTACATCCTGGTTTGAACTGTTTTTCATGCCTGGAGTCATACAGAATATGCTTTGATATCATGTTCTGTAAACAAGACACGAGCACCCCTGTTTAAAGATATTTCTGAGTGGTGCACGGGGTATTTCTGAGGTGGCCGGCTACTTTTGTCTTTTTTTATCAAATAGAATTGTGTAAGTTTGCCAAGTTTCATGGCTGTATAGAAAACTACATGAAATTTACCAAGATATCATGTTCCATAGAATGGACACAATTACCCCAGTCTAAAAATGGCAAAGCAGTATTTTTGGAGGTGGAGAACCACTTTCTTGGTCTTTTTCAGCAAAATAAATTGTGTAGGTCTACCAAGTTTCATGGCTGTATCACTTACAGAAATGGATTTGCCATAGTAGAATGTTCTGAGTACTGGGCACAGGAACCTCAGTTCTAAAAATAACACAAGGGGTATTTCTGAAGTGGGTGAGCACTTTTGTTTTTTCTCAGCAAGTCAAATTGTGTAGGTTTGCCTCGTTTTGTGGCTTTTAAGCTAACAGAAAGGATTTTATCACAGTATGATTCTGAG